AACACAAATTATATAATAATAAAACTTCATACGTACATAAATATTATGTATTGTACAGCTAGTATGTACCCCGCAACGCTTCTTTGTCGCACATACTCACTGATTGTATGACAAATTATTCTTGAGTTATCTTTTTATCATAAATTTATTGACTATATAATAGTCCGCCTTTTTTAATTGGCCAAACCTTGGTCCACTTCCCGTTGAGAAGATTAGTTTTCCAACTGATCCAAGCACGAAATTACAAGTAATTGAAGCCATAAATAAACTTTTTTCGACTAGGTCAGTCCCTGGTTCATTTTGAGGAGAGAAGTGTAGTGTTCCTGTTAATCTAAGAAAAAGGCCACTGAACCTTTTTTCAATCTTGACAGCACAATCTCCATTTTAAAGAAGCTTCAAGCATAACATGCTTGTACTGTCAACATTGATCTTTTATTGAATCTACATATTCATTCCATCTATCTACTATATCATTACCGTCTATTAAAAAGTCCGCTCAATCGCTGAATCAAATTTTCTTCTCACTCCTCATTGCGCACTGCTTCAGATTTTTCAACAAGATAGGTATCAACCATTACCCAAAACTTTTTAGTAGAAAAAGAAAATATGCAGAAAACGTTCTATATATTATTTTTTGTATGTATAAACTAGAAGACTCGGCCACACGCTGTTGTGTCTTTCTGTTTTATGTAGAGTTTTATTCTCATTGATATTGCAAAGAATGACAAAAACTCCTTATCAAGCATCATATAGTATACTAAGTTTTTTTATTATACTCCTCGCTACTCCAAGCTGGCACGCTAATGGCAATCGGATCTACTTACACACGACCAAAAACTGGAAAACATTTTTTTTTGTTAGAAAAAAAATCGGGCTTGGTGATAGAAGGGTGAAAATTTGAGGTTATAAGTATTTTGTAATGTCACAAAAAAAAAACGAAAAAAATTGTGTCGATAAAATCACCCATATCACTGTCAATCAATCGCTGACAAATAGATGTTATGTTATTCTCAGACCCACGGAATATGCACAGAAAATTCCATTAAAATCGGTAAAGCTCTTTCGAAGAAGTATCGTGTCTAACACTGTGATACGAAAATTTTTTACATTAAATAATTCGCTTGGAATTCTGATAACCTCTAACGTTTTTAATATTATTTACTCAAGCCCCATCCATTTTACATAACATCAAATTATGGAGTTGCTGCCTACAGAAATTTTTGTTCAAAGATAATATCAATTTTCTTTATTTATTGATTTAAACAAAATTACAAGGCAAGCCCTTAGAATTTTAGTCAAAATATTAGGCTGTTTTATAAATAAAATTATGGAAATTTAGATTAAAAGCTTCGGCAACCGAATCAAGTTCGTCATTAAACATATGATTTTGCTGTTGTCGTCACGTTCATAGTTTCTTGGTTTCATAACCCATGGAAGTTATGGGTCGATTGCTTACGAACCGACCTTTGCTGTCATCAAAGGGCAAACGATTCTTCCAACAATTATTATCTGTAAAAATCAAACAAGTAAAGGTTATTGAAAATAAGCTTAGTGCGCCGCTTATGTGCCACCATGTCTTTGAGTTTTGAGGCCAAATAATTCATTGTTATGTTGTTAAACTTCTAGCGTTCTTTATCATAAACGTTACGACAAATTTGTCGCTATCCGCTAAGATATTATTAAGTCGGTATAGTCGCTGGTAAACAAAAATTGTGCGCGCTTCTTCCCTCAGCATTGTGTTCAGTTACAAAGCTCATTTTTGGCTTAACGGGTGCGTAAATAAGCAAAGTTGTCGATTCTAGAGTGAAGATCAGGCAGAAGCATCGCAAGGGCTACCAATACATGTGAATGGTGTGCGCTCCCGGAGAAGATATCAAACTTTGTTGAGACCGTAAGTCTCAATAATGTGAGCGCCGGTACGAACCCGTAACCCAATCGAAATAATAAAAAGAAACGAATAAATAAAAAGGTGTTAGTCGAAGAACATAACATTTATTAAAGTGTAAATACAAGAGTATTTCCAAAAGTTAATATAAAAATAAATAAACAGCTGCCTTTAATCAAATAAATAAAACTCGAAAGCGTAACCTTTCCTGAAAACTGTAGAACTAAATACTGAATTTTCTTCCGTTTATGATTATATCTATTTACGAATGTGCATAAAGGCACACCGGTAATTATATATTATCTGCAATTCTGACAACCATACAGTAGCTCTCAAACTTTTAAAGGTTTTGGCTTAAAGAAAATTTATTTTGCCAAAATGCAAGAGTTTGACTTGCACGGCATGTGGTTTCAAAAAGACTGAGTGGCGACATGTTTCAATCGATGTGTGAGAGCTCGCATTGTTGTGGTGAAGAGTGATCCGCCTTCGCAGGTTGGTTTTCTTGACTTTCGACTACTGGCAAACAAATGATTGTGCACAACTCAGGCAGTTTAAAAAAAAAAACAGGCAAACATTTGCTTGGAAGTGCCTCGTATATGGGCAACTTTTGTTGGATTCGGCTCATCTTTAATTATACATGCAGCCGACTGCTGGAGTCATAAACGTCTTTCCTTTTTTTTTTAACTTCTCTATTGACGAGCCTTTTTGAGCGACCGATAATTTTTGAGTGATCCAATGTCAATTATTTATTAGCCAATTCATGAATTATTTATTGTGTGTATGCTGGTCTCGCATATGTCTAAAGTTGTCTCAATCTCACGATAGGTCGCACGATGGTCCTGCTATGTCAGTTTGCACACAGCATAAATAGTTTCTAGAACTACAACTGATTTTGGAGGACCTTCACGAAGTTCGTATTGGAGTTTCGATTGAATTTACCATACTATCGGTAAGCATTGGTTCTTGATGGAGCTTCATCGTCGAAAATTGAATTAAGTTCATCGTTGCACTGTTGCTGATTAAACCACATGAAATCCAAAAATAATCAAGCGAAAATGTTCGCTCTCTAATTCCATTTTTTTTGCACTATTGCGCCTAGGATGTCGATCACACGTATGTGTTAATCATTATTCGCATATATTTTAAAAAGGTTTATAGTAGCGCGGCTTTAGCGGTAAGTGCTAAAGGACCACGGCACGATTTATTAATTTGGAGCTCGTCTACAGTGCGAAGAATCATACATCGTAGTCTGAAAAGTGGAAAACAGATGTTTTTTAAATGGTAAACTCTATATTCCAGATGATGTCACCTTTCCTCCATTTTAATCAACAGGAAATACCAGTTGTCGATTGTCATTTAAAATTAGTTAGCGAATCGCATTATCGTATACGGGTATAGATACCTAGATGCTATTGCTGTAAAATCATCTCAGCTTGATACACTTACTCGTACATGATCTTCCAAGCATTTCACCGCTGCAAGCAACGTCGATAACTTGTATATGCATACCTTTCTTCCAGTCGGGTGGTACTGTTTGAAGTGCGCTAATACAAGCTATCGTATGAGAGCGCAATGTAAATGAAAAGTTACCACTACTTGACAATGCCGTTAGTGACGTTTGTACCGTGGATACTGAAGGTATGACAATGCTCAGCAGAAGTAAAAATCAAAAATATTGTTTTATTCTACGTTTATTACTTTAGAGTAAGTTACGAAAATAAATAAGATAAATTCAAAGTGTTTCAAGGAAAACCCAATTTTGATTCTCAAAAATTTTATTTACGGAAACAATGTCCCGTTCATTTGTCCATTAAATCGGGAGGATGAGCCTGCAGTAAGGGAAACAAGGCTGCATCGTAACTACTAATTTCACGTTAATCATAAAATTTCTATCGCTTCGGTTGAAATATTTGGAAATATTACGGTAAAGCAGTTCTCAAAATAAATTTCTTTCCCTTTTACCGAAAAGCTACCATTAATGGTAAATAGTTAACAAATAATCTTTGTAGAACATCTCTGGTATAAAACCTTTTTTGATTTTATAGAAGACGAAAGTGAATTTTGTTTGACACTGCGCATTTGTACATTTCAATAACCCTCGAATTAAGTTTTAAATGATTTTCAATGTAAGTAATTATTTTATTGTGCATTAAACCGGGAGTCCCCACAATTAAACTATAACACACGAAATGCGTAGAATATTGTTGGTAAAAAATTATAAGCAAAGTTCGAGTTCAATTCGCACACACTCGTGTAAAGCTGATACTATTTATAAGGGAAGCGTTTATACAGAACGAAATTAGGAGCAGCTTCGTATACAGCTGAGAGTTTATCTTCCTAATGACACTCCGTGTCGTGAAGGCCACGAATGAAGCAGTGGAACCGGTCTCTCAATTCACTCAATGTAATCAAATGAGCATCTCAGGAGATTAACACCTTACCTATTAGTTTTTCTACTCCGCCCTCTCTACCACCAGAGAGTCGCGTTGGCTATTTTTAATCAAAACTGGTTTTTCAAACCGGCAGCACTGAGTATTAGGTTTCTCAGCTGCATAATGCGGTTGCTGATCAGAACCAGCGGACTTAGGCCTGAGAGCCAATTGTGATAATAAAATTAGTCAGTTTAACAAATGTATGATGTACCCAGCAGCAAATTTCGTCACCAATGAATTTAGCAATATGAAGTAGTATTACAGAATGCGGTCGCTGTGGTTGCGGCTTGCATCGCTTTCGTTTCCGATGATTTTTTCCCTGTCCGACGTCTAAGTCGAAATTTCCACTTTTAAACCGTGCAAACCACTTTTGACACGTTCTTTCGGCTAAAGCATGGGCACCATAAACGTCCAGTAAAATGCTTTGGCTTTTGAATGAATTTTCAAACACAAGCCCTGTACAGAATGTAATCGCTGCTGAAGATTGCCGAATACAGTATATGTACGTGTAGCTTACTACTTCATTGAAAAGCCATTACCATTCGCTACTGGGTATATATTCATATGTATGAATGTGTACGTACATAAAGAAGGTATAGTAGCGAATAATTGATTTTTTTCATAAATGTTGAAATAAAAATTATTTTCTTGAATATATTTTAATCGTTATTTTTTTTACTTATTTCATAAAAAATTTTAGTTAAGGCACTTTTTCTTTTTTGGGCAGTTACCGTAAAACACATACACCTGTTTGTTTGGGCTCTAGGTAGGTTGATATTGGGCAAAAGGAACATGGTAGCGATTCGTGTGATCAATGAGGTGGAAGATGCACATTTCTCACACATAACGGTGAGTTTGCAGTATACAAACATTATTTGCAAAGTCTCTCATTATCGAAGACATATTCTCGCCTACGTGTATAACCAAAGTTTGAGAGGGTTTCGGAGAAAATATAATTTTTTTTACGAACTTGTAGTTTTGTTCCAACAAATTGAATTACCCACAAACATACAAACTTTCGTTAATTGAAAGATGAGATTTAAAAAAAATTGAAGAGCACAAAATTCAATTGTCAATAACAAACTAATAATCCCTTGGCTGATTATGCCAATATATGTACCATATGAGAAACACACGAACATATATAAATAAAAAAAATAGCATAATCGAATGTGCACAGCCTATGAAAATTCTAGATTCACTATTTCTTTTCCGTTTGAAGAGACCTCGTATCTATCTACATATGTAAGTACGCATTTGTTAAGCTTCTTGAAGACGAATTCACTAAAATTATCTAGCCCAGCTCATGATTTTAAAAGTTATTTAAAATTTTAGTGATAATTGTCACAATTTTTTCTACTTGCTTCCATCTTGCGTTTCTCATACATTATTTCACAAAATTCACTCAAGTAAGTTACTTTTCTTACACCTGCTGATCTCATACTTAAACACAGAGGTCGCAATTGCTATTTTCATGAATTAACTAAAACAAATGGCATATGAAATGAAGTTTAAGTTGAAAATATTTCAATTTTTATTGTAAGTACATTAATAGATTTGTGAGCATTTTCCGTTGTTGTCTATAAAAATAGAAACACATACATATATTCAGTTACATAGGCTTTATATATATTGGCAAACCCTTTGCAATATGATATGTTATTATAATTAATAAGCTTGCTTCTAATTACTCATTAATTTTTAATGCAATTTTTATCTAAAAATTTTTTAGATCAACTATTTGATTTTTCCACACATGCTTAGTTAGTTTTCGGTTTATTTTTATTAATGTTTAACGGGTTTAGACAAAAACAATAAATATCAGTTGGTTTTTCTGTTAAACTTTTTAGACCGTAAATAATTTCGTTGTCGAAAGTTGAAGAAATCAAAATATTTAGGGTAGTTTACTGCTCATGAATAAACAAAATAAATACGTATTGAAAAAAATCGTAGTTCGTTTCAATTCTCGCTTAGCCTATCGCTTGTGGCGCGATTAGACTAGTCCGCCCTCGCTCAGCGCCATGGAATTTTAATTGGCGAACATGAACGTCTATGCATTGGCATCACCACGCTCTGCCGATGTTGTTGCTGCTGTGAACGACTGTGGTTGTTCACACCACTTCCAGCCGCACGCAAAATTTGTGGTTGTTGCAGTCGACCAACAGCTTTTGAAGAGCTTAAGCCTTTGGTATTTATATGACTTGGCGTGCGACCCGCTAATAACGTTGTCGTCGATACATGTTTGCTGTTACCACTGTTACCATTAACAGAACGCAACGTCGTATCGCCAAAGTAAGTATGTCTAGGTTGCTGTAATTTTTGCAACGCTGGCACTTGATCTTTGGATGATTTGATGGTCATTGTTGTTGAGTTCTCGAATGGTTCGTAGCTGCTTAGCGCCTGCATTTGTGAAGGGGTTGCCAAAGAATAGCGAGCACCGGGTGTGTATAGGCGTTTCTCTAAAGTAGGTGAATCGGCAGGTTGGTCTAGTCGTATACGTGCAGAAAGCCGACTGCTACTCTGTGACGAGCGTTGCATGGATGTGGGGATTGTTTTAGCATTGCTCTCATTGCCTATGTGCACCAGTGTTTGATAACGGCCTCTTGTTGTTGCACCACCGTTGGCAGAGCTTGAATAACGTTCTGAAGTGACGGTAACTGGCTTAACCCAGTTTTGTAATGGCGACTTATCACGGCCTTTTAATTTATTTGGTCTAACACTTGGATGCATAGCATTAAGTGTGGGACAAGCACTGGCTCGCTCTGCATTATTTGAACAACTATCCTGAATATTATAGATCGAAGGCATAGGCTTAGCGACTCCAACTGGCACCACACGCGTAGGTATATGTGGGGTTAATGAATTCTTAATTTCAATGCTTATCGAAGGGATCTCTGATGTTTGAGAGCCATTGACTTTTTTCAAATATCCTTTGGCTACTTCACTTGGACGCTCCATGCGGAAAGTCTCGTTACGTTTAATTGGTGAATGGCTTTTTGAACGTGCTGGGTGTATAATATTATCACGAATTGGTGAACGAGAGTTTGGCCGATAGTTCTCATTTTCAAAAACAAGAAAGTCGGGACGATTCTCTTTGGATTCATAGCGCTCACACGTTTCCACTTTCGGCGATTCAACTACAACAAACCAAGCGGGATTATGTGAAGGGTTTTGTTGATTTAATAAAAATTTGTCACGAAATGATTTACGAAAACTATTAAGAGTAACTGTCTTATATTTTTCAGCCGCTGATTTCTGTTCGGCAGCCAATTCTTCATCCTCGTGCAAATCCGACTTCGTTTGTGTTTTAAGATGTGATAGTTGCTCTTTTAACTGCATGGGTATTTTGCCCTTGCGATAAGTAGATGAGTCAAATGTTTGATTATGTGTACTTGAGTTGGAGCTGTGTGAAGAGTGCATGGAGCCACTGCTACTGCTTTGTTGCATATCCTTCAAACTGGAGTGTTGCTCGTATAGGAAATGAAATGGATCCGACTGAGAGTCATAATCCAACGTATGTGCCGAAGTCGGACCATCTGATTTCCATTTGTAGTAAGTATTAGTTGCACTATCACTGGGGTGGTGTTCCAATGGGTCACTTTTATTGAACGCGGGTGATTTTTTGCGCTTTGTAAAGGTAGCGAATTTACTTAATACTTTAGATTTTTTCGACTTTTTCTCCAAAGTTGAACTGTTTGATGAGTTCTGTTTGCTCTCCTTATCTTCTTGGTCAGAGTTGAGTATGAAAGTATCGCTGCGATTAAGTAGCGCCTCGGTGCGAGAATCAATCAAATCCCGACGCGTCGGACATTCAATAGAGGTGAGTGTTGTTGAATGACTGGTTTCGCTCTTCAGAGATGTGCCCATATTGATAGGTTTACTGTCGCGAGATTTACTTTTGCTGCCTGTTTTCGTGCGGAAGTTGCGAAAAAACGACATTCTGCTTGTGACGAAAAGGTAGTCCCACAATATAAGCAAAATAATCAAATTATTAGCAATTTGGCTATCGCCACCGACTATTATTACAAATTTGCGTACATTTGTCACCGATTTTTTTAATTTTTGCATTTACTCTTTATGTTCATACATATATACATATATATAATTCTTCGTTAGTTTTCTTCTCCTTTCTTGTCACAAACTAACATGTAATTATTTAAAACTCAAGTGTGCAATTTTTACACTTTCAAACTCCGTTCCAGCCTTACCACGACCACACCGTTCAAGCAACTGAGCATTGGCTCGTTTTAGCTGCTTGGCAGCATTAATTGCGTTATATTTCGCAGCCAAACGTGTTTGTGAGTAGAGAACCAAAACCGTCAGCGCTAACTCGAATTTGTACGCTCAAAACATGGCTCAGAGCTTAGAAATGATGCTAACAGTTCCGCAGCCATTTGTGATCACTTTAGATGTTGTTGTTGCCAACCATCGCCCGCTTGACACTTCGCCGGTTTAGATGAAATTCTGTGTTTCAGTGACACGAATCTAATACTGCATTCAAATGTACTTTTATAGACTTGGCTAAACTAATAAATTGTAGGTAGCCTTGCTGTTGATACTCTATTCACTTTCACGTGGGCGCACAAGTCGTCACCTCTATATTTCTATTATTTTTCACGAAAATAATTTTTATTTTATTTGTAAGCAGCTCTTCTTTTCTGTCTTATAGACCCTCAAATTTGATCATGATGAAATAATATACAGATGAAGTAACTAGAGCAGAAGAAGACTTTGACACTGCCTCAGCTCAAAGTTGTACTTTAGAATTTTAAGAAAAAGGGGAGGAAGGAAAGAAAAATTGGCGATTTTTATGGGAATTTAGGCAAATATTGAAACTTTCTGAAAATATTCCAAATTAGTTTACCTTTTTAAGTAGAAAAATACATCCTTCCTCACTTTCTTATAATAAATTGTTTAGAGGTAAAGCTTTCCATATTTCTTGTGGTATAAAAACAAAAGCTTTTAATAACATGTACTTGAAATGTATAGGACTGGATTTTCATGCATTCCAAGCTACGAATCGTACCAATATAAATGAAGGAGCAAGGCGAATTCATAAAGTTGAGAGCAGGAGAACAAAAACAAAAATTACCGTGTATTTTGTTTTGGTTTTTAGTGTAATAATTGCCAAATTGAATGAATAATTAAAAACAAGTCTGAAAAGATTAGCTTAAAAATCAAAGTTTGCTTATTCAAATGATATTACCAGTAAAGTATGAGATGTTATTAATATATTTCTTTGGCAATGGCTATGAGACTCACTCACATTAAACGAAATATACATATGAGAAAGGTCTATAATTGCTATGGTCATAAGAGATTACTAGAATTACAGCAAGTTTTTGTAACGCTGTGCAGACGGTTGTACATTATATTTATAATTACTTTTTATACAATGTTAACATTGAAAGGATATGTTAATTTAACCTCTGTATAAATGTGATTTTCTTTTTAAGAAATGGTACATGCATACTAAACCCCTTTTATAAATCCATTTGGATGCAGATTCTTCATTTTGTGGAACTTGGAATCGAACTCCCCATTCTATGTACATACAAAACCCAACGGGTTACTTCGCCAAGAGTCCCAAACAGGAGACAAACGCCCTCGATCAAGAACACAGGCGGCGAAAGCACGATGGAAAAGCAGGCTTTCAATTATGAGATAGCTGGAATCAAGCTGCCATCAGATCCCTACAGTGTAATAGTACCACATCTAAAGTGGCTATAAAATGTAGAAGCCATCTGTGAAAGCTCTCGGCTAAATGCAACACTGACATAGTTTGGGTGCCCGGACAATTCAAGCAATTGCACGGCAGAGGACCTATTAGAGATGAAGCCCTTCTATCCAAAATAAACCATGCGCACGATGCTTGTTTTCCTTGGTTATGACAAAAAATATGCTAAGACATGCCTTTTCCAAAAAAGCAAACACTAGATGGCAGAATGAGATCTCGTGAAAAGTGACCAGTCATCTATGGCTTCATGGAAAAATAAGCTTTCATTATAATGATATTTGCCATAAAAGAAGATTCTATAGAACACTAACACTTCTTTAAGTTATCTACAACGAAAGCTAGCACCGTTGTTGCTTTTATAATGCACGCGAAATGGTTTGAACATTTGAGAAAGTGAAGATAAAAGCCTCATAATAGCGATATCAAAATAGGTATATTGCCCTAAGCGCGTTACAGATAAATAGCCGCATCAATTCAACGCAAATCAAACTCGGAACACATTCTTTTATTTGGAAAAGGTCACAAATCTTATTTGAAAATTTTCAGCTATATAATTAGAAATTACAAAATATCAAAATGTAAAGAAACTTACAAAACATAAACAAACATTTTGACTACCTTTACACTGAACCGAATTCATTAAATGAAAAAATTAAATTCGCTGCCCTAGTAACTCCACCTTGTTAAATTCGTCTTGAGTGGGAAATAAATATAATATAATACTACACAAGACGAATTTATACAAAGCGAAGTTGTCACATCGTATGAGTGCTTGTTCTTCCTTTTATTTCAACAAATTACAAAAAAAAAATACATGAGAAATAGGCTTTGACATTACGAACTTTCTATTATACCAACAAAATACATTGAACAAATTCGTGATAATATATTATATTATTATTTGTATTCTTGCTACTACCGTATGTGAATTTGCCTTGATACTGCATTTTAATCAAATAAAGATTTGGTCTCTCAGAACGTGTACAAAACAAATTTTGTATATTAGTTTTGATTCGGAATGGTATTTTGCCATGAGTTTCTATAAATCACTACGTATTCATTTTAACGCATTGAGTTTTGCAATATGAATGGAAAACCTTTAAGAAATAAAACTCAATTTTGCATATCCGTTATAAAAAGAGTGACAAAATTTTCATAGTCTACTAAAAAGTGGAAAAAATAGGATGTCCATTTTTTCTTTGACTTTGGTAATATAAATGTTTTCGTAAACATGCTCGTTACTCAAAAAAACATATAAAACAGAGATACTAGAAACTAAAAAATAAATAAGCATGGTAAATAGCCTATTATTCACCTCATCAAAGTTTTAGTAATTTAAAATTGGCGCACTATACATGAACGCACTAACTAAACTGTACATGAACTACAAAAATTTGGGCACGCAATTTATTTAAGACTGAACTGAAATCATAGTAGATTGTTTCCGTTAAAAAAAAAACATGAAGAACTATACATATCTCATTTATGAACAGATTGTCCACCAAAGTGTGAATCTATTTTTTGGAGATGACGAGTCAAGTGGATTTCGATATATCTGATTTTTTGCTTGAAAGTAAAACTGTCAATTACTTCTAAAAATTTGAAGTAAGTTTTCTGAAGTCGGACTGAAGACGGTAATTCGTATTGGTATTTGTCCAGTTGTATGGTTCCTTGGAAGCAGCTCAAAATATAGCACACCCAATCCCACCAAACTGACAGCATAATCTTCCTTTGGTGAATACTTTGACCATGATCGTTTACGATTGACCTTTTGTAAACAAACCGTTTTTCATCTCCAGTTATGTTTTGCTTCAAAAACAGATCATATTCATTGCCTTTAATATGCCTATCACAAACGTTGAAACGGCTTGTGAAATGAATATCTTTCAATTCAAATGGTACCAGTCCAAAACCGTTATATACTTAACTTCTCTCCAATCTTACGCTTAGCTCGTGGCTTATCTTTGAGTGAAAGATATCCGAACGGATTTTGTCAAACCAACTTCGACACTGTGTTTCTTTTAAGGGCTTATCACCATTAAGGAAATAATAAAGTACATCAAACTACTTGGCTGACGGAAGACATGTCTCCGATATTCTTGACGCAAGTACACTCCGAGGACCCACCATCGACTCGCACAACTATCTTGTTGCAGCTATGATACGCATGCGCTTTTGTGTATCGAAGAACGTCCGTCAGCAAGAACGACGTCGAAAAGCTGCAATCACAACAGACTGCCGAACGATTTTCTACTCGACTTGCACTCCTGCTAACTATTGGATGTCGCGGTGGAAAGAAAACAGACTGCCTACCTCGCAACCTTGGGATCGACGACAACACGTGCGGGATGAGAGAGATACCGAAAGCTGATGAGGGAAGCAAGACGCATATGCAAACAAAAAAAGAAAGATGCCGAGATCTGTGAGAAGAAACGGCGACTTACGGAAGGTTTCAAGACCAGAGCAGGCTATAGTAGGACACAAAGCGGTGATCTAGCCACTGATGCCCAGAATATATTGAATTTATGGAGGGAACACTTCTCCAACCTGCTGAATAGTAGGGAAAATGGAGAATCCGGAGATGGTGAACCCGAAGCCCCACGTTCCCCTACCTGACCATGAAGAAGTTTGAATAGCAATCGCCCGCTTAAAACACTACCTGCAAAACTATATAAAAATGGGGGTGAAGAGTTGAAGATCAGAATATGGTCGGACGAAAGCATGCTGGCGATTGGAATTTAAGTGCGCTCTGCCCAATCCACAAAAAAAGGGGACCCCACGGTCTGCGAGCGAGTCTGATAAGCCTCCTTAATATCGCCTATAAAGCCTATTCTAGCGTATTTTGAGAAAGACTGAAGCTTGACGGTGGGCTTTAATTGTATTTTTTACTATGTACAGCGTATTAGGCATCTATGACCGTTTGTCTTTTCACAAATAACCTGATACCTAAATATGAGTGCATTTGACAACGTAATAATAATTGACCTTAAAATATTTTTTTATTACTATTTATCTTTTTTATTTTTTATTTTTTTTTTTTAATTAAAATTGTCTTTAAAAACAATGTCAAACTAAAATGCCCACGTTTGACTTACACTTTTTTCATTTACATGACATTACCGTGTTGGAAATGTACATAATTTTTGTTGTAAACAGATGTTTAGTAGTGGTTTATTTAATTTAATTCTAAAAAGAGGCTTTTAGTAAATAAGATAATTAAAATTATTACGGTACTGGAATTATTAGTACTCACCTTCTCAGAGAATTCCTCGCGCTTACGCCTTGAAACCGTAGCACCATTTATATTATCCTTGGTAATAGGCATTTTGTTATTTTGTTTTTCTGAGCTAAAATTCCGTTTTTTTTTTTAATTTGATGAGCTGTAAATAAATGAAATAATTATTTGGAAATTAGTAGTAGTACTTTTCAAGATAATATGCCAAGAAAGTCTAACTAGACAGCAGTTTGTCTACTTCCATATATTCAACTCTAATTATTAACACAGAGATATCATATGAGAAAGCATGTGCATCTTTTCAGCCACATGCTGGTTCGAAGGAGTTCAAAAATATAAAATGGGATTAAGTGTTAAAACAATGAGCTACATATACTTTCTAAAAAGCTGTTCAAATATCTGTAATTACCCTTAATTCAACTTTTTAATTTTTTCCCTCAAACAAGGTGTGTTCCCTACAATATGGAAGCAGTCTTTTATAGTACCCTTACTTAAGGGTCTAATATTGAGAAAAGTAAACGCAATTTTGACGCAATCATTATCAGTCAGATGAGGTTTTCGATCTCCTCACCACTATCCAATTCCCAATTCGTAGTGAGACTTCTTAAACGATCAATTTGTAGTTCATAGCTCTTATCTGAGGTAAAATTTAAAGTTATGTAAAACAAATTATGAATTGGCTGAATCCTTTCTCCAATTATGTCACACTTTTAATTTTCATGCCAAAAAGTGAGTCTGAGAGATAGATGGTCTCTCAGACTTACTTTTTGGCATCAGAACACTGTTCTTACTTCTCTCAGCAATTAAATTTCAAAATTCCATAATTACTAAATTTCAGCTGTTCAATAATTGTTTTTCCTGTAGCTAAACAGTTTTAAATCTCGACGCTTAAAAAACGCTTCGCAATCATGACTCGGCATATTTTGCGGATGTCGCCTCTCATGTCGGTTGGACTGGTGGAGGGTATTCGTTGGGCTTATTATTATTATTATTAGGTTTTATATTGGCGGCCTGGTGTCGTCCTAGTATCCAAAAAAAAAAGTTATAGAAAATTTATATAAAATAAAAAATTAATTTAAATTTTCTAATTGCAGTCGCCCCTCGGCAGGGAATGGGGACCCCTTCCAGTGTATTTCTGACATGATAAAAAGCTCCTCATAAAAAACCGTCAGCCGTTCGGAGGCGGCTTAGTAGTATAACGTGTACGTCCCTCCATTTTATTGGAAAAACATCAAGACGCAAAACCACTAATTGGAGGAGGAGCTTTCGGTCAAGCTTTAGCGGTTACAAAGCGCCAATTATATAAGTTTTGTGAATATGGATCTACGGCTATAGCTATAATTTTTAAACTTTCAGTGCAAAGACTCCCACGCTTCCTACTTATACTTAAGTCACATCTGACTAACAGACAATTTACCATTAAACAATCTGAACATATCAGTGAGGAGTATCCGGTAAAAGCTGGTGTTCCGCAGGGTAGCGTCCTCGGGCTTATTTTATATATCATATACACTGCAGACATCCCATTAAACCGAAAAATGCAGACATCTATCTTTGTGGATAACACAGCTATTTTATGTCGGGATATATGCCCTAAAAAAGCAGCAAAAACGATTAGTGATTATTTTCTCCTCATCGAAGAATGGCTATATAACTGGAGAATTAAAGTTAATGATATAAACATTCCCCAAGTAAATGATATTACATGTCTCGGTATACACTTAGATAGACATCTCACTTGGAAGAGACACATAGAGGCAAAAATACTACACATGAAATTAAAAGCAGCTGGTTTAAATTGGCTTTTAAATAAAAACTCCGGTTTAAAACTAGACTACAAAGTCCTTATTTACAACGCAGTATTAAATCCAATTTGGATGTACGGTATTCAACCGTGGGGTACGACCTGTGCAACTAATATTGATAAAATACAGAGGTTCCAGTCCAAAATTTTAAGAGCACTAATAGGCGCACCGTAGTACGTTCGTAACGTAAATATTGATTAAGATCTTGGTATATTACTAGTTATATTATAGCAGATCTAGTAAATAAATGAATTTTGTATAAAAAAAATTATATCTATGTCTTGCAGTGCAAACTTAAACAAGATTTCTTGTATAAGTATCCAGGTTAAAGGTCTGTTTTAGTAAATACCTAATTATGCAATTTGATTAGCGTGGGTACATTCGTGCTGTCTTATAATAGCAGTGTTATTCACAGAAGTTAGCGTGATTACTTTTTCTTTTGAAGGAATGTAAGCGGTGAACAAAATATTATCCCAAGAATGAAACTGTGAGGGAAACCTCCTTTGATATGATATGTAGCGGTTAAGAATTTTATGTAAGTTGTTATGTTACGATTGTTTAATTTTATGGACAAGAGAAAAGCTTGGATATAAAAGCAAAACTGCCGAGCAGTACTCTCTGAAATCGAATTATATCTTGAATTTTAAAATTTCGTGTCCGAAAAATTCCATGTTTTTCACAAAAAAAATTTTGGATAGGAATTTTCAATGAAAAAATAGAAATTTTTGGTAACAACACTTTTCCGACAAGGCAACAAGCTGATTGGTTTATATGATGACGGAAGAGTTGATACCATATTTGTCTGGCACTTCTTTGATATTTTCGGATAATATCATAGTTTTAATATAGCACTGTACAACCTTACAAATATCCAGGACTAGATGGAATCTTTCCCGCTGGACTACATCACCGAATCGCAAAGTGGCAGCGGTATGCCCTCAATAATTTCACGAATTTCATCTTTGAGTTTTTGAATCGATATTGGTCTTTGGCGTAGACCTTATCTTTCATGTGGCCTCAAAAGAAGAATCGCAATGTATTAAATCTCAAAATCTCGTTTTGTTAGCGTTAATTTGTTGAAAGTAAATGTTGTAAAGATCAAAAGTTTCCAAATCTGATCATAAAAAATGATTACTGACGATTATGACGTTGCTAATGATTGGCCGGCTTGAGTTTTTGTATTAACCCAAATTTAAAAGTCTTAATACCCAATTCTTGCAAAACTCAGTGTAATGATGTTTGCACGATTCTAAAGAACGACGAGAAATGAACAAATCTGGGTTTTCTTCTACACTTTTGGCTACAACAGCAATATTATCAGCTCCTTTTTTCCACCAATTTCTGAATTGCGGTCCGACACGGTGCTTCACACCTACCGAAAAATGTTTGAGTTCTACGAACCGTCAGAGCAGGTTTTCCAAGCCTTCAGCTTTTCGATTTTATAATGTCACAAAACTATAAAATTTATTCCAAAACTATTGAATTCACGAACGGTCGAACGCGCATTATCAATTTCTGACACCAAGTGGAGCGATGAATAATGTAATCTACCTGTAAGTTCAAAGTGGTTTACGCAAAGCAATCCGAAAAGCTCTTCAATTTTTGGTTTAAAAAACACCGTAATCATCCCCAGCATCTTTTCCAATTTGCATAAACAAAGAGAATTTTGACGTTAATAGCTGAATTAATGTCGCGCTGTAGTTTCTGCTTTCTCTAGATTGAAGAATTAAAATAACAGCGACTGGTAGTGAACGAAAAGAAGATAAATATCTGTCAACGCATTCGCTTTTTGCCACCTACGTCATTATCAACAGTCATAATTTTGAAGTCGGAGATAATTTCGTTTATCTGGGAACCAGCATTAACAACACCAGCAAAAGCAGCCTTGAAATCTAACGCACAATCATCCTCGTCATCTTTAGAAGTTGCTCATCATACGGTGATATTGACATTGATCAACATTTTAAGAGACCGCGCATGAAAGCAATCCAGCTTTGTAAGCCTTCGATGCAGAGGAAGCAGAGGAAAACCTTAACTTTAATAATGCGATTTAACAACATTAGTGATTTCCGCGATTGCTAGTATTAAATCTTAGTAATTTTTTATTGTTATTGCGATCGAAATTAAAAAAAAATGTAATATAAATGTAATAATATGTAATATAAATTCACATAATTGTATATAGCAAAATAAAAAATAATTGGAAAAATTTCTCGATTATACAGCACGGCTGTTTCCTATCCCTGCTTTGAAGATCTGTCGTAACTTGCATACTTTTCATCGTACCGTTAAAGAGACGCGAAAATTAAGTGTATTTGCGGAAATATCAATTTCAGTGTGTTTGGAAGCGGTGAAAGCAACATCGGCTAAAATGAAATATGACATCGACAAAATTCTTTCGGGTAGCGGACTATTTGGAGGAAATTTATTTGAATTATCCCTGCATTCAATAAACAACGAGAACAAATTTCGCGATCAGATCCAGATCCTTTAGCTCCAACATTAGAAAAAAGTCTCTCATCACCGCTACATTACGGGTCGTCCGCACGGCGTTGCCAAAAGTTTTTCGTCCAAACGGCATCATATTCCACATTTTCTACTAATGTAGCCATAATTTTGAAGAAATTAATTTTTTTTCAATAACAGTCTTCTTGAATTCATTTTGACATCACCAGCACAGCGAAAAAAATATTTATATCAAATCAAAAATACTGTGTGGTAGAGTAATTAGATTGAACACAAAATTGGATACAACAATGAAAAAAGTGCATTTATGCCAATTTAAAAGTATCAAAGACTCCTAAATGGATAGATACCCATATATTTTTTATATTAGTAGCACTCACCTAAATAACTTCTATTGACTTATTATCTTATCGGGAATTTTATCTATCTAAAATTTTAAATTTTAAACCTTTTGCCTGCCAACGAAACTACCAAAGGCAAAAAAAACTTGGTAGGAATAAAATGAATATAAAGACAATTTGCTGGGAAAGACACACACCAAAAATCAACCATATACTTCAATTAAGCTCAACAGTTGCGAAATTACTGCTTGTTTGTATTAATACCAAATGCAAAAGTGATTTTCTATTGTGGCTTCGCTGTCACTGGTATTATTGTTAATAAACAAACTTAAAACTGAAAGTTATTTATTAACTAAAAAGCTTAGTTATAATATTTAAATTTAATTTAAATATTAATCATAAAAAATAATTATTATATTCCATTATGACTCATAACGGAACAATATAAAATTAAAAATGTAATAAATATTTGCTCGAACGTTTTTGTTTAGATTATATTTAGAAATTTCGTCATTAGCAAAGCGATACAACAACATAACCACCTTTTCTACACCACATACTGATTGGAGAGCAAAATGGAATGAGCCACGTAGCGCAACTGTTGTAGTGATTGATAAAGCTCTCAACGCCTGCGAGAATTTGTCCACTTAAAATTATTCTGACTGACTCACAACAAGGTAAACAATAAATATTGTAGAAATATTTATGTATACATAAAATAAAAATGATAACAATGCATTTTGGAAGGCAACAACAATAACAACAGGAATGGCTAAAATTCAGTTGAGTACTTAAGTAGAAGTGAGAAGAGGTTGGCGAGTGAAGACTGTTGAATATGTACATAAAGGCGCAAACATTCCTACGCATGAGCTCAAACAGATTTTCCAAAAATATGTGATATATGGACACGGTTTCTTGCCCATATAAACTCAAACATATGGAAGCAAAATAGATAGAAGCTATCGGATACAGTATTGATAAGTATTAATCAAACTTGAGAGTAAATATATATTTCGATGTCACAGTTAATATAATATTCTGTAGCCAATTTTAGCTCTTAAAAAATTTCACTTAATAAACTTTAAAACCTCTATTCAGGCTGTCCTCGAGATAGTATATTGACCTGATATTTCCGCGCCCATGAAATTTGTATCAAAATAAATTGTTTTGAATGCAGTTCTTTTTATGTTGTGCCAAAGTTTTCATAAAATCGTTTGTGTCTGTTGCAATTCACGCGCTCATATACTGTGCACTTACCTAAAAGAAATATTTGAATACGCATGTTGGACTACTGATAAAGTAAGTTTTAAATAATAAAGGCTGTACTGAAGTACAAAAGTTTGGAATATCTATAGAACCAGTTTCTTCATTAAGCTTTTAACGCTACACTTGAAAAGGAAAGTACTCCATCTCATGTGATAATTTCTCGGCAATGGATAGTAGTTGAAAAATATCTGCAAATGCAATTAAATCACTAACTCAATTGATAAAAATGCTGGGACCATTAAAACAACTTGGGTTTCTAGTCATAGAACATCTTCGTGCTTTGAAAACATCAAGACGCACATCACAAATTAGAAGAGGAATTGGGCCGAAAGTCGCAAAATATGTATGTATGTATGTATAACTTAAGTTAAGCAATCGAACTTTTGTAAAAGTCGAAGTTAAAAAAAAGAAGAGTGCTCGGATTTTCACCTGGCTTAACAAATAACTTAAATAAAGGTTAAAAACAAACTTATATTTTATATATATATATACAAAAAAATACCTGTACGATGTAAGCCCAATTCACACAAATTTACAATTAACATTCAAAAATTGCTGCCGGGAAGTACATCCTGTGGAATCAGCATATGCATCAATAATTAAGAATTTCTTTTCTTAAATAATTATAAAAAACCGTTTCATTTTACAGTATTCTGGATCAAGTAGATTTTAGTTTATATTTCTTTCTGCGAAAGTTCTGGATAGTTTTTACATTAAGACTGTATAACATACAAGCTCTCAGAGCTCCTGGCGAGTCAATATCGATGTCTATGGTCTGGCGTTGTTCTGATGAAACATAATTCCCCTCCTATTGGGCAACGCTGGGCGCTTCTGGCGATTTAGGCTGATCGCAGGAAGGCAGCTCATAGGTGATGATTCCTTACCAATCACACCAAACATACAGCAAAACCTTCCAAGCCGTCAATCCTGATTTAGAAAACACTGGTGCCGGCTCACTGCTCTCCGACCACGACCGTTTTCGATTATTTTATCAACACTTTTTACAATTATAGTATCCGTAAACACTATTCACTTTATACAGCGAATTTTCTTTTTTACTGGGGTCCATTTTTGACATGCGCTCAAACACTACTAAGTTAAATGATCAACACTTCTTCCGTTATCTTTTTTGTAAGACTTGTATATGTATAGTGCCAAAGAAGATTGAAAAGAAATTCACAAGAAACAATATTTTACAACATATGACTACACATTTGCATGAGCTGTTGCGAATGTTGTTAATCTCTTTTCGGTTTTATTTTTTTTCTAAAATCTTTATATTTTTTTCTATTTTCTTATAATTTATTTATGCCAAGAACCGGCAACTCATATAACGAGTTAAACCGGCATTACGTTTTGGGTCTACATCAATAACGAAGCAGGCCAAGAGTAAAAATCAAATGTTATGAGTCGAGCGGCTGGTGGTGTTCGTTCACTGATCAAGCAAGTTGGACAGTCAGAAGAGAGAGAATAATATTCGAAATACACACATTTTAGCAACAAAACATAAAAAAGAGACTGACATAGGCGTTTACAATGCTGGAGAAAAAATCGTTCTTGCAACAGCAGCAGCAAAATCTCCTGATCACGCTTCAACAATTGCTGTTGTACTTTTTCTAATAAAACCCGCTCTGAGGTACTTATGTAATTGTAGTGAATACATATAACACGGAAATATGAACATGTAAATAAATATACCTATGTTCGTACTAACTTACTTACATACATATGTTCGCATGAGCACATCATTTGTGATTTTAGCACATACTTCGAAGAGAATACATAAATATATTTACATATGCAATAGTATACATATGTATGTATAATATATTTACCCTATTTCCCATTTTTAAATTTTAACTCTGAGGTTATGCTTTAGAATTATATGTACGCTGACTCTGCGAATGAAATTGGGTTGAACGGTGTATTTCGTTGTAAATATATCTTATAAATGAAACGCTGTTCGATTATCGTACTAAAGCTCAGCACTGTTGCACCACTTGTCAAATTTGGTCTTGAAATATTTGTGGAAGTTCAGTTTAAGCGGGAAGTGGATCAGTAGCCGATGTGTTTGAAAAAAACGTTTATATGATTTCATATTCTTGAAATTTTATGCGTAGGTACCTTTTTCCATAGAGAACACTTTTTCTTCGGGAAAGTTGACCTGCGACCGAGATTTTCCGAAAAAATTTATTTATGGCTTAACGCGTACCAAAATGTTTTAACCCCATAAAAGGGTAGATGGCATCATACGTTGACTTAAGCTTGAAATCCATATTAAGGCATAGGCGTACCTTAACAAGATTCATTTCCTTGCGTACAAACTTAAATATTGTACTTTTCTTTCCTAAAACGAATTTGCTTGCCTGACCAACTCCTTCTATTAGAAAAAAAAATTAATAATTAGTCAAAATGTCTGTGATAATCAAATTAATCGAATACTACCATATTATTATACTATTTGTTTTATTATAAGGAGTCCTTTTTTTAGAGAAGAAGAAATAAAACGCATATAATTTAATGGTGTGGGGAGTAACCGCCGTGGCTGGCTCCAAAAAATACTAGACTGCTGGCCTAACTTTCGACCACTTTTGAAGAAACTGAGCCCGTATATCAGCAATAACGATCCAAATATTATCTTCTAAGGCATCAATAAGCCCAAGCTTATCTGCGTAGCCAAACAATTTCTTATAACACCACAAAAACTATCCAGCGGTTTATTTACCGTAATTTACAAAATTTATAAAAATATTTTGAGGTTTTTAATCTAATAATAATGTAATATAATAACGTTTTGTTGCAGCATAATCATTGAATATTTGAAAAATGAAACATGAGATATATTGGTATACTTGTGGGTATACAACATTTTTGGTTTTACCATTGACATTGGTCCAAATCCCGGAGATAATAGTCTTCTTTTTAAAGAATTACGTGTATATCGAACCATATATAAAAAGTTTGGGCCCTGGCCCACTTCCCGGTGTGAATTCCGGTAGGGAAGAGTAGTATCCCTGCCAAATCTAAGCAAAAACCCACCTCTGTACCGCTTCGTATTCGAGGGGCAAGAGCATCCTTGCTGTAAATCTAAGCAAAAACCTCCCCTGTAAAAAATTTCAAGTAAATTGAACCATTTAATAGATTTTTTTGAAATAGTCCCTGGTCCACTACCCAATTTTTTTTTTATAAACCTTCCCAGGAACCTGACGAAATTTCAAATGCTAAATTAGTTAAATTAGTAAATATTGCTCACAGAAGTAAATCTGTGTTGAAAAGAACTTTTCTATTCTTCGCTCAATGGAAACAGGAATATTTTCGATGGGTTCGACTTTTGTCAATTTTGAGCATAGAACTGTGATATGTTGCTTACGAACATGCAATTCAATTCAACCATTTCCACAAAAATTGTATACTCTTCATGTTACATATTTTATTCAAAATGAATCAACCGTTTGAACTGCGCATATTTAATTATTTATATATGAGTAGCAATCACATCAAAAAAACAAAGTGGACAATTTTTTTCCAAATAGTTTTAGAATAACTAAAATATATTTATCTTAAAATTTACTTTCAACCGCCTTTTTTGCGTAAAATATTTTTTATAAAAATATTGTTCGAAGCGAGATACATGGGCGTATAGGTACTCATACACATTTTGAATCAACTTTTTTTACAATTTTGGATGCTGGCCGGGCCAGGGATCGAAAGCATGAACATGTGCTTAGAACACTCCAAAAACCACTGATCTTAGTTTAACAAAATAACACATTCATTCAGATTTCCTTGTGTTGAGTGAGCATTGCAGGCTGAGAGCGGGCCTATAACTTCCAATATTGGGGAAGATTCTTGATTAATTTTTTCTTGTTCTTGTTAGAGAGGGCCTAATTACATTAATATGTAATTACATTCATTACACTATCCCCAACACACTATTAAATGACGGTAAAATGAAACTATGAATAATTAGCACCAACAAACTTAAAGCGATGGAGTCTAGAAGTTAAATTTAATTTTAAGTGCGATAAAAAGTCCACCAATAGACCCAAGATCTACCAACCGTACTCATAAGATTCAGAAAAGTTTACAAAGACAATCTAAAAGCTTCGCCGCCTTAATACTTGTATGGATCAACGTTAAATGTACACCTCAACTCACGATGTGTCTAAGCGCGCACTGGATCATCCATACTCAGGCCCTCTCAAAATAATTAAGCGTTTCTACAACAAAATGTTCACATTCGACGTAAGACAACCGAACAAAACCAGTATATTTGGCCAGTAATAATGTTTTTGGAAGTAAGCCCCATCTGTTCGAATACACCTCTACAGCTAACAATATCAACAAAACATTATTGGCGTCGAAATAAGTAACAGGTTTTACTTTTAATTATAATTATCAGAGAAGCTTTAGAAACACAACGATATCATTCCGTTGCGCTAACAAGAAAAATAAACTAAGAAATGAAATCGTTTCGTTTCGGCGTTATTAAAACGAAATGAAATTGTTAACATTAAAACCGCAAAAAACTCATCCTTAACGTTAATTTCAAAATGACTACTTGCTGCAGCCCCCTTCATTTATAAAGTTTACCTTTATATCCTAACGATTTAACATTAACGACAGTTTTTCGTTTCGGATAAAAACGAAAAGAAATTTATTTTGATAACTGCTTAACGTTAATATCCCCATATGTTTCAACCGAAACGATGGAAGTTTTTCGATTGCCGTTTAATTTATCGTTACGATGCAGCCTTCATAAATATTCATATTTGTACCTATGTATGTGCAGCAAATGTATAAACTGGTATGCCCCAGAGCTCATAGGAGTAAGGAACAAATTTATATGTTTATTGCTGGAAGAACTCATGACCAAACATGATACCAAACTCTTAATGTCGTGAGAGCGCTCTAAATTTCCACATTTGTTTATAACATTTTCCAACAGTTCCACTTCGATGAAAAAGTTTCCTTTTGGGATTTGCGGAGAATTATTTGGCCTTTTTGTGCTAAGTTGTGCAAATTAGTATTTTTGGCAATTTCCACATATATATATAGCCTCAACAAATAATGAAAATTTGTTGATAAAATGAATTGCTTTCCTGACGAAAAATGGTGCGTTTCATTATTTACTAAGTGGTACTGAGGTTTCTTAACGATCAGTTCTCTCAACTGACTTCGTTACCAGCCCAGAAGAAATGATCGAGGAGTGCAATTACCTGCAATACATATGCGAGAGTTTCGAATCATGTTATCTTTGACTCAAGGCTAAGGTTACACTACAAAGGGCTTACCATAAATTCGGCTATACTTCAATCTTAACATTGACAAATAAAGAAACGAGAAGAAGTTCCATCATATGAATAAATACGTATGTACATATACGAGTATTGTTATGGGTTCTGCATATGAAGGAATTTATGCACGTAAGAGCTGTAGATTAAAACATTCAGGTGATAGTATTAGTGTTAGATAGA